CACAGAAATGGGTTAATGGATAACTAGGGAGATGTGATTGTGGTTGGAGTACATTCCTCCTTCATCTAGCAACGTTTAGCAACAATATCTAGCATGGCAATACAAGATGGAAATGACACAAATGACACTGGTGACCAGGAGAGCCACACTCAACCAGTTCTCTAGGGTGATTTTCAAATTGGCAGGTAGAGCTGGAAATTTTCAAAAATCTGGGGCAAGCATCATGATTAATGGCTTTCCACTGATTGCAAAGGCCCATCTGAGGGTTTATGCCACCAACATATGGGCGACCACCAGACAAATGAGGAAGAACAAACATGATTAAGCCTGAAGGAAATAATCCAAATACCAACCCTGCTTTCCTGTTATAAATATCACATTTTAAAAACCACGAAGATGAGGTTATTAATAGTAGTCGGTGCAGGTGATGAGACAGAGTAAATGCGGTGGGGGGTGGGGGGAAGCATGTGAACACAGCTTTCCTTTTTCTGGCAAGGGAATCCCATATTTTCTTCTTTTTTTCAGTGGAGGGTGTTTTCGCAGCGAATCCCAGCAGGGAGTGTGCTTTGAGCGCCAAAGCTGGACGACGCCATTCCCTCAGACAGGGACTCGGTGTGGCCCTGCAGATGCATGACTTGAATTTAGGAGGGTTATCACATAAGCTTTTCCCTCCTTAATGAGTGACCTGAAGCACCACAGAACACAAGCTTAGGGGACTGTTCACAGGTCCCGTAAATACCGAGCAGTCACTTCAAATGTTCTGTCCCTATAAAAACTGTTAATAGCAGCCAAAGTACCTGTCAGGAATTCATGAAGGTGGCTTGAGTCAATGTTCTAAGTCGAAGCCCAACCAATAAGGCTCACCAACTTCAGAGTCTCTTGCAAAGCCAGAGAGGGGGTTTCGGCAAGAAGCAGAAGAACTAAATGTATAATTCCCATCAGAGCTGAGAACTCTGTCAGAATTTCATCCCCTACGGTAAGCAAGCATAAGCGAACAGTATAGTACTTCATAGCTTCGTTCACACCTGCTCACGCGGGAGAGGCAGAGGTAGCACTTGATCTACCGTGGACATCAGCAAAGCCTCTGGCTTTGGCTTCCTAGCGCCATCGGTCATATCTGCGCATGTGCGCCCACATGTCCGTGTGCGATTCTCCCCCGTAGCCAAGTTAGATTTTTTGCATCTCCGTTTTTCTTTTTCTTTTTTTTTAACTTTTGATATCTGTTTCTTTAAGAACCTTTTGGTCAATCAACAGTGAGCAGACACTCACAAAATATTTGGGGATAATGAGAACATATTCATCTACTTATTAATTCTATTCATTAAGCAAATAAATACCATACCTGCTGAGGTCAAGGCACAGAGCTTTACGCTCTGCAAGATTGTTTTAAAAGGAACTGGTCATGAACCCGACCCTTAATCAGCTTATAGTTTTTAATAAGCCAGATTCTACGTGGTTGGTGCCAAGGAAAGACTCAGCTAAAATTAAAGCCATCTAGGTGGGGCCCCTTCTTTCCAGAATCACCTTCTCTGGGAGTGCTCATTCTGAAGGTCCTGGCAATTCTGTGACTTCTGTGGTAGTCAACCAGGAGGTGAACCGACCGTGAGGAACAGTCCACACAATAAAATAGATGTGGCACTGTGGGGACTGTAGACAGATAAAGGAGACTCATATTTGACACTTCAGAACACAGTAGGTACCTACAAAAGATACCTCTCTAATAAAACTCTTGGTTTCTTTCTGACACTATTCCCCTTCCATTCCAAACCTCCCAGCTTTTGGCCTCTCCAATATGCATGCTCTTTACAGAAATGAGCTTTAACTAAGAGTAATAATGGCTACTTTTCTTTGAGTCCTTACTAGGAACCAGACATGATGCTGTTTCATGTATGTATTCTCCCTTTTAATACGAAGTATGTTCTTTTAGTATTCCTATTTTACTGATAAGAAAACTGAGTTTGGAGCAGCAATTGATTCCAAGTCACCCAGCCATTATTTCATCTGAACTCAGGTCTGTCCGACTCTAGAGGTAGAGTTTTTAATCATTATATTATACCCATTTTGAGTTTCAGAGATTCAGATATTTTATCTCTGGGCTTCAAATAATTCCTTCAAAATTCCCATCTAATACTTTAATTGGACAAAGATTTGTTTCCTTTTACAGTTGAATCTTAAGGGAGTACAAGAAAAGAAAGCAAAAATTCCACAGAAAAAAACAGACTAGCTGGACCGGGAAAAAACAGCTGCATCCACTTTAGGTAAAGTTACATGGCCTAGTTTATGGCTTTGGATGAAACGGCATGTTGCCATTTGTCTATTCATTCTCCATGGTTTACTAGGAAAATACCATTCGTTTCCCATTACCTTCCTCCTCAAGAGCCAGGATAAAAAGAATATGATTTCCCCTAGCATATATACATAAAGAAGATGTAATACGTTCCCACTTTAACTGAAGACCAGAGTCTGTCACTTCTTTACCCACCAAGATTCCCAAAGTTCTTAGATGTTGGCTGCTACATTTATGAGAGTTGCCTTTTTAAAAACAATAACAAAACAAACAAACAAAAACCTTTTAGGAACTCATCATCCATAACCTGGGTAATGAAAAAGAAAAATCACTCTTGGAAGTTGTAGAAAGTTCTAGTTTATGGCTTTGGAAAGTTCTCCTCTAAGTGCACTAGAAAGTTCTCTAATGCACGTAAATACCTGGTCCTGAACTCTTCATTTCTCTTCCTTTAGGGATTATGTGTCTTTAGAAAAGAGGTAAAATCATGTTTCCTCCAATCACTTCATCTGAGATCGACAAAAGGCAGGTAGAGGAAACTGAGTGGGCTGCCGTTCCTCTAGGCTAAGCTTCAATTAGAGTCATCCAAGACTAAGCAGCCTCTACTTCTTTTTCTTTGAAATACAGAGAAGTTTGAAACATAGAAACCTATTACTTTCTCCCCCAGATATTAATACTTTCTTTGAACTTACACAATCCTACCCACCCCCTCTTCACTCCCAAATAGTATCGTGAATCCTTGAAGTAGCACCAAGTAATCTGGGGTTAAAAGTGAACTTGGCTAATAGCTTTGCCTTTGGCCAAGAAATCCAGGCTCCATTCTGGTTGCTTTTTGGAATGGGAAATGCACAATATCGGTATTACAGGCAGCTCCAGAAAGGCATGCCAGGCCTCTCTCATGCTCTCGATTTATATTTGCATGTGAACAGCTTGTCGGCCATTTTATGAAGACAGATGAATCGCAGGCCTGCTAGAGGGACGGCCAGCCCTAAATACACGAACCACATACCCGTACAACCACTAAGTTTTAAAAATGAAATGAGAGTAAATTGAGTATCTCTAGACACAACTTCAGGCAGATTATATAGAAGTATGATCGATAAATGAAACATTTAAGGTATCACCCATAAGGTGGAAATGAAGGATGAAACCAATGTATAAATATATCCCTTTAAAAATTCAACTAATAATAAGATAGAGCTATTTATGACACTAAAGACAAGACTTCGGGGGGGGGGGTCTCTCTTTTCTTATGCTTGCTTTGAAGAGACACCTTTGGTGAGGAAAATACCATTAAAACACTAGAATAAGAAGTGGGATAGCCAGAGAGTCCATATTTAATGTCAGAATCCAGCAATGAAATCAAGAATTTCCCAGGCTTGGGAAATGAAACAAAGTCTGTAGTGAGAGGATATCTAATGTGGTAAAAATCCTCCATCCCATAGCACCGACATAATTCAGTTTACCTTATCTGTTTCAAAAGATCAGACGGAGATCAAAATGGAAAAATATATAGCACAACAAAGGAGCGACCAGAGGAATGAGATCATTCTAAGTAGATGAAAAACCAATATGGGAAGGGATGATACGGACAAGAAAAATAATAAGTAATATTGAAGAGCTAACCATTCTTTATAAGCTATATGAATATGTGCATCTTATTTAGCTCTTCAACAGGTAGGCTCTTATTATATATTATTACTGTACTATTTTAAAGATGAAGAATAACTTTATACCTTGAGAGGTTAAATAACCTGATCAATGTTACAAAGGTAAGAAATAGCAGAGGCAGAATTTGAACGCAGGCCTGATGCCACAGCCTGAGCTTTTAACTGCGATGCTGTGTGCCCTTCACATGCCCCTGAAGGTCAAGCCTCCCCATTAGAGTCTTTAGTTCTATCACTGAGGAAGAACACTTTGGAATTTTATGAGATGGTATCCGGGAAAGTACATAGTACAATGTTCAGTATATGATAGGGACTGCCAGTTCACTTTTCAGTTTTTACTGAAACTGATAGTTTTACTCCATCATAAATTCCAACTTGTAACAATCTATTTTGTACTTGGAGCGCATACCACAGATCCAGTACTTCACTGGATACTCACAAGAGTATACGTAAGAGTATAATTAAATTTGTATATAAAGTGCGCTTTCTATGTTAATCAAGTTTCTGCAACCGAAAATTTATATAATTATACAATTTAGAAATTTAATACTGTCATGTATCCTTACTATTTTATTTCAGACAATTTAAAGTGGAAAATCCTTCAAAGGCGGAGATCATTTTCTGAAAGCAATTAGGAAAGGGCTAAGCTCTGAAAGGCTACGAAAGTATTTGTCAGTCGATGACCTTAAATCACCAGTGAAGAAGGTGGTGGGGCATTTGCCACCTTAGAAGGAACTAGAAATCAAACAGAGAGGCGGCGGCTCCTCGCTTGTGCTGTAGAAGATTCGGATTTGGTAAATCAACCCTACCTCTCACAGCCATCAGTGTTCCTGGAAACTAAGGTTCTCATGAGTACCCTGATGGTGTTTGGGAGAGGAATGGAGGAGGGCTCGGGGCTGCTAGAATGATCCAGAGACCGCCTTGAGTCATCAAAGCTGTTCCTAACTATGAGCTACCCATAGGGCAGAACCCAAAATTCTTGTACTTGGTTGGCTCCTGGCTACTGATGAACTCTGAAAGCAGCAGCTCGAGTCCCCAACTAAACTTACCATTTTCTGGCTGGTCCTTAATGTCAGCGTCACTTGGCTGGCTGGGACTTTCAGATTGACTTGAATCTGAAAAACATAAAAATACAGCCAAAAATTACAGGGTCTGCGAGGGAAAGTGGATCAGAGGTGCCAGACTTTCTCAAAAGGTTCAGCATGTAAACTAGGAACGAGAACGCTATGGGAATGACAAGATGAATGAGGGAAAAAAAGTGGGGGAGGGGGAAAGAGAAGAAACGGGGAGAAAAGCAGTGGCGGCAGCAGCCCTGTGCCTTTGGAGAGGAGGCTCCGTTCTGGGTACACCTCCATGGCGTCTGGCTTGCGCCAGATCATAACTTGAAACACTTCAGAAACCATTCTCTTACAGAGAAACCATTTCCAAAACTGCTCTTCTTCATTATTTATACACGAGAGTCTGATAAAGACTTCATCCTTCATTACACACATCTGAAGCTTGATTCAGAACATAATAAAGTGTCAAAACATATTTTGAAGCTGGTATATAAAAGCAACCCAAACAACAGTAACAAGTCCTGTTGATATTTAGCTCTGTGCTGCGGCAACACACGAAGCAGACTAACGCCACGAAATACGAGAGTCCTAATACTCTAGCACGTTCACTTGAAATCACAGGATCACTCAAAGGCATCTTTCCGAAAGAGACGTGTTGCCTTCACTTTACAAGTATGATTTTCCTCTGGTGCTGATGCCTTTGAGAGCTCCTAAGAGGACTCATTTGCAAAAACAGATTCTTGCACACCTTTGTTGAACTCCATTCATTTTTTACTTAAAAAAAAATAAGCATTTCTAAACTAAAAAAAAAAAAAAAGGCTAAACGGGACCAGTTTTGGCAAATAACATTTAATTTTAAAAATGAGATCAAATTAAGTGAGAGCAAAAGAATCTCACAGAATTATAAGTCAACATACTTAGACATTTTTTGGAGGGAGGAGACAAAAATCGGGCAAAATATTTCAAGGGTAAATTTTTGGGCTGTGAAGCATATTCTGAGACTTTAAATGGTATAGAACATTATCTAAACACAAACAAATTTTTTTTTAGAATAACCTCTGTATCTGTGTAAAGTCTGGCTAGTAACTTTACCTTGGCTTCACAGGGTTAGAATTGGCTGTCTAAAACTTGACCACATTTCAGCAAGAAGTTCAGAGCAAGATCAAAAGGTCATGACACTTAACTGTGATTAAACTGAAAATATTACTTCTATTTCAACAGAGTTATAGCATTATTATTCTCTTTCTTGGAGATATTGCAAAAAGAAGTAGCACTCCTAGTGACCCTGGGTCGAGAAATGCTAATTTATTACTTTAGAAAGGCTCTCTGCTTTTAAGCAAATGAGGATTTTAATTATAGGGAAGTATTACAAGGAAAATGTCTATCTCTAAGTTTTCAGATGATCTTAACCTGGTGACTACAGCAAACATTCTACGCCGATCCCAAAGTGCAAATAACAAAAGATGTGAAAAGTGAATTTTTATTTAAATCTGGCAAAACGATAGCTTTTATCATTTTGTAACAATCACCATAGTGAAAATACAAACAAAAGCATGATAGCTCAAAAATAACTTAAGAGAAATCCTTCAGAATGATCCCTGAAATCAAATACAGAGCCGGCACTGAAAATCGGAAATATAAATTTATATTGGTCCATATTTGAAATTTTAACTCCATAAATTAACATTACTTTTATAGCAAGCAATTAAAAAAATACGGCATGACTACCTTCTCTTTTTCTACAAAAAGATCCTCTAATTTTGCCTTTAAAAATTATAAATTAAATAGTCTGAGAAGCATTTCAATATGTTTTAGGAGAACAGCATACTTTTATTATTTTTGTCCTGGAAAATTTTAAACCATTGATATTTATAACTAAAATTTTTAAAATACTTAATTTTGTTTTAGGGAAAGTTAAAATTCTTCCTGATCACATCCCAAAAAGGATACATAAAATTCTGCCAAACAGAACATTTATGTTGCAGTAATACCAGCAAACCTAACTGGTGGAAATATGAGAGCTTAGCCGATGTTCTTCCTCTAGGTATACTATCTTCAGGATTAATCACCTCATGAACAAACAGGAAAACATTTTTCATCTCAATTAATCTAAATATACAAAAGCCATTGCCCTTCTGATATTTATCCACTAACAGTAAGGCAAGAAGGATAATGATATCAAAACAATGTTTTTAATAATGTAAAAGTGGACTTCTTCGTTCTCTTGACTTTTCTTTTACACTTGCTTCACAACCTTACCTTCAGGGAAGCATGAATAGCAACAGAAGATGGACGTAGGTGTGTCAAAGAAAGTTTAAAATTCCAAGCCACAGAAAGAGAAACAAGTAAACAGCAAATGATTGAGAGGCAAAAAAAAAAAAAAAAAAAAAGACAGTTGGCGTGAAAGGGGCCACAGAGCTCTTCTGAAAGCTCAGATACTTCTAGCCAAATTGAAAACGGAATTTAATTTCTCCAGTTTTATTCAAAAGCTGGAGACACCATTAACCACTGAGGACAGCATACTAAAACACACTATCCTGGTTAGGGGTAGGCAGAGCCAAAGACCTACAAGAAAATTTAAATGATCTAAAAATTTCCGTAGTTACTTTCACACTTGGGCTGCTGAATGCCGTTTCATTTTTGAACCAACGAGAAGCAGAACTACCCCGTCCCGAGCCTATGTTCTCTGCTGAAGATTCATGGACGATTTCCCTGGCAATGCAAACGGTCACCCATGCTGTTAAGTATGGAGCCAACCAGATGACCAGAACTGCAAATTAATTTCTACCCATACATAATTGACATAAGTGAATAATTGCTTTCTTAAGCATGTACATTGAAACACTATCATGAAGGTTACCAACTAACTTACTTTTCTCTTTGATACTTGGTATAGAAACCTAGGTTAACCTCATAGCTTACTTTTTTTTTTTTTTGACAATTATCAAATGGTCAGTTGATTGTCACCACCTGCAAGAATTAGATGCCCCAGAAAACAGACCCAACTGCATGGAATCGGATGCCGTATCTCATAGCTTCTATCTAATATCTGGCATGACTTCCTCTGGTTCCCTGGTTGAAAGCCAGAAGATCTGTATATTACAATGAAGAGAATATTATTTAAAATGTGTTTAAATGATGGAGTTGGAAATGCTATTGTGAGGAAGTACATTAGGGTCATCAATTTTTTTTTTCCCATCTAGGGACTTGCTTTTTGTTTAAGGAATCTTAGACTTCAATGTAACCTTGAAAAGCAATGTTTCTTTTGGCTTCTAAAAAATTTATGAGCAGAAATTTAAACCTAAAATAGACAGGGTTTGCATATAGGAGGCTGGGTTGAGACCTCTTAATTGAACGGGCAGCCATCTATCCATGCATTTTTATGGCGCCTTCAGATATATTGCTGGAGTACTCAGACAAAGATATTTCACTATCAATACAATCACTGGGGAAAGGAATAAAATAAATCCTAATGCCTACATCTCAGTATCTGCTTCCATAAGCTTGTGCAATGCAGGAACAGAAGCCTTGTGCTAGATTTGCTACTTAAGCACACATTCAGTTGCCCCAACCTCAGTTCTGCTCCCCCACCCCAAGCATGGACTTTCGGAGAACACTCCCTCTGGGAAGGGGAAGAATGACCAAAACATGTCAATAGGGCAAATAGCAGGCAAAAAACACAGAGATCACCTTCACGGAGTTTATGTTCTTTAGATATGAAGCAAAGATGGAATGTTGCTAAATCTTCCTTGTGCTCAACTTTCTCCTCTCTGGTCCCTTCACTGTACATCCATCTCTGACGGTGTGATTTATACTATGTTATACTAAGGGGATCTTAAATGATGTCCTATGAGAATTTGAATTCCATAAGAAAAGAGTTCCTTTCTCGTTCTTTTCTTGTCCGCAGTACCTTCCAAGGGTGCCTGGCCTGGCCAAGGATTCACTAAGTCCTGAACTCAAGACATGAATTTTCAATACAAGTAACTTGTCTTTTCAGCTTTCTAACACTGGGCCACTGCCAGCGACTGGAAAAACATACTAAAGTAATACCTAAAGGGGACTGAGACTCACAAACTGAGGAAGGAGGTCAAATAAAAGGCCTTTATTTCTGCTTGATGTTCCCCTTCGTGGGGCCTGGCAAGGGAGAGACAGGTTCGTTGGCTGGGAAATCTTGCTCAGTGGTTAGCAGTCGCAGACAACCACCTTCCATGATGCCCTGGCAGCACACACCACAAGAGGCTCCATGGAGGAACAAGAGCTGAGGACAGTGTCTGACCCAGAGGAGGCCCCCCAAAAATGTGTACAGTCTACAATGATGGATGGTGGAGGGCCTTTCCAAACATTCAAAAAATACAAAGCTGAGAGAAATCTGCCATATTCTGACACCTGAGGAGTACCTCAAAATCCCAACAGCTGCTGTGGTGAAAAATTGATAAAGGAAGAACAGACATGACGTGGTGAAGAACTCTTCTCACCCTGACACAAATCAGTGTAATTCCTATTTGGTTATCATGATATCAACAAAAGTCTGTGGACCATAAAGGGACAAATTCTGGTTCCACCAGAAAAATAATTCCACCTAAGTTTCAACCTCCCTCCCTGCATTATGATTTGGCTAAAAATGAAGACTCAAAAGCCTCTGTTAAACTTCTGTGTCCAGTTCTAAGTCTCCCCAATGGAAAGGGAGATAATGAAGAAGTCAGAGGCATCCAGGAACATAAATGAGTTAGTCAGCTGAGAGAAAAAAAGTGAAAATTCCACCTCAAAAGAGCTTCCAGTTGTTTGTGGTGTGAAAAGAAAAGGCAAAGACAGGAATGAATACTGTGGTGCAAATAAATGAAGAGTTAGGAGCACTTCTGGAAGAAAAGAAAATAAGGACTGAGGTAATTATACTCTGAGTATAATTAACAGTTACACTTCACAATTGTAGCCCTTAAGGATACTCAAAATTCAGGTAAGTTTTGTTTCTCATGGTTCAGGAAGACAGAGTTCTTTGCAAAAGAGGCCAAAACATACCAAGATTCATTTTTTCTACATCCATGAAGTTATGACGGAAA